TGGCCTGTAGTGTTTCTGTTGAGAAGTCAGCTGAGAGCCTTATGGGGTTTCCTTTGTAGGTAACCTGTTGCTTATCTCTTGTTGCTTTTAGGATTCTCTCTTTGTCTTATATTTTTGGCATTTTGATTATTGTGTGTCTTGGTGTGGGCCTGTTTGGGTTCTTGTTACTTGAACTTGAATGCCTTTTTCCTTTACCAAGTTAGGGAAGTTTTCTGTCACTATTTCTTCAAACATATTCTCTAACCCTTGCTCATTTTCTTCTTCTTTGGGGACTCCTATGATGCGAATATTGTTACATCTCCAGTTGTCCCACAGTTCTCTTAAGCTGTCCTCCTGTTTTTTTAATGGTTTTTTTCCTTTTGGTTTTCTGATTGGATGATTATTTCTACCCTGTCTTCTAATTCACTGATCTGGTCCTCTGCTTCTTCTACTCTGCTGTTTAGACCTTCCAATGTGTTCTCTATTTCTGATATGTCATTCTTCATTTCTCCTTGGTGGTTTTTAATTTTCAACTGGTTGATTTTCAACATTTCTGTGTCTTTAGTCATGGTGCTCATGTCCTTAAACATGTTGTTGAGCTTCCTCAAGTTAATGGCTCTGAACTCTAGTTCTGTTATCTTGCTTAACTGCACATCATTTATCTCATCTTCGGTAGAGGTCTTTTATTCATTCATTTGGCTTTTGTTTCTGTGTTTCACCATTTTGGCTTTCATGGTGGGCTTTGGAGTCCGCCAAATTTTTCCTGTGGGTGTTGATGTTCTGCTGTTTGTGACTCCCTCTCCTGGGTTTGTATGAGCCTGGGAGGACGCATGTTAAACACCACTGTCAAGTCTTACTCTCCTGTTTAGAGTTTGCTAGCCCAGGAATGGTACAGTTATCCTCTATCTTTTTACCTGGTGGCTATCAGTAGCAGTACTTGAAGAGCCTTGGCTGCTCAATTGAGTGAAAAACTCCCTCGGGTGTTCAGCATAAGGGGATTTTCAGAAGGTGGGGCAGATGCTGGTTGTTAATGGGCCTCAATTGCATTTCAGTGGCCACTGGGTGGGGTTGAATCTCCTTGGAGGAGCCGCTGCCTCTCCCCAGAGCCCTGGGAAGGAGTAAGATTTCCACAGTCCTGCTTGGCTGCAACTCAGCAAAAGCTCTGAGCACCCTCCAAATCCCGAGTGTCCCCACACAGTTCCAGGACAGTCTTCCCTCCTTCTGCCCGAGCCCAATGTGAGTGGCTGTGGCTATTTTAGCCTCTGTCCCAGCTCTGCACTATGGAGCCGCTTGGGAGTTTAACCCGAGGGTGCTGGTCACAGCTAAGGCCGCTGAATTTCTGGGCTCCCAGCCCCCCTCTCTGCAAACCTACTAGGATCGAGTCTGGGTCCCTGGTTATATGGTCTTTGCAAACTGCTTTTCTGTTGCTTTTTCCTGACGATTTGTCTTTATTTTCGTTGTAATTCCAGTTTGGTCCTAGGAGATGGTCTGTGTAGCTTCCATTCACTCTTCCGCCATTTTGGAATCCTCAGTTGTGGTTTGTCCCAGTCTGGTTGGTTGTGCGGGTGGCAGTTACTCAATGTGTCCCCTTCACATCTATGTTTCTCTCTCCAGATCTGCTTTTCAGAATTGTAAGGATTGAATGAGGTATCAGAATTCTTACTAAGGTACAGAGAGCTATATTGCTATTATAATAATTTGAGTGTTCAAATTATAGTGTCAGGTTACAGTTTATGTATCAAATAATGAACTGTTATCAGATCTGTCTTATTCTATTTTTATTTTTGTAGTGTTCTGTATTCTCATTCTTGTGATCCTTGTGAGGTACAGACTTGTTTGAAAAAGGTAGGGATAACCCAGTGGTGGTATATGGGTCTAGAATGTAAGCTCCTGGGGAGTCTGTCTTATTTTATTATTGTGGTATACCTCATTGTGATCAAGGGAACATTCCCAAAAGGAGTCAGTCACACATGTTTGTGTCCATTTTAGATTGTCAAAAGTATCCAAAAAGTTCCCTCTGTTCTTGCTCTGTACAATCAGTCATACAGCACATAGTATGCAGTAGGCACTTAGTGAATATTGGTGGAGAGAATGAATGTGTGAATGCTAATAAAAATGCTGTTTTGTTTTGTTTTTTTTTTTTTTACTCTTTTGTCTGGTTTTCAAGAGCAAAAGCAACAACATGAACGGGAGTTCATGTCACTTCTATGTTTTACTTAAATATCTATTTATTATAAATATAATAGCTACATATGGTAGAATAATGCAAGGAATACAGAACTATTTCAGTTGAAAAGTAAAAATTTCCCTGAATCTCCCTATCCTAAACATAAGTAATAAGAGTTATCCTAGATGGTGGGGTTTTCCCCAGAGGGTCCTGAGAACTGCTAAAAATGATCCGTTTTCAGCCCTTTGACACAGTTTGACATTCTTCAGGGTATTCTGATGATAGACCTGAATTTTGTCTCTAGTTCTGCTTTTACATCATCACAACATTGTCACAGTCACTTTTTATATTTCTAATATCTTGTGATTTTATGATTGTTTTTTATTTTTATTTTCACCTGAGGACTTTTTTTTTTTTTTTGCATTTATCTTCAGATAGAGCAGGAGGGAGAGAAGGAGGAAGAGAGAGAGAACCATCAATGTGAGAGAGACACATTGAGTGGCTGCTACCCACACGACCCCAACTTGGGCCAGGGACAAACTGCAACTGAGGTATGTGCCCTTACCGGGAACCGAACCTGGGACTCTCTGGTCCATGGGCCAATGCTCTAATTGCTGAGCCAAACCGGCCAGGGCTTATCTTGTGATTTTTAGAAGCAACTTTATTACTACCTCAGCAGTTTTTACTTTTATTTTGGATACATCTCATGACGTGTGTGCCATTTGTGCCCATGTATTCTACTTTAATTTCTCTATCTTCCCACCCAGTTTTAAAAGAGCATATTCTGTAGTTGCCAGTGTTTCACAGTGCTCCAAAATAGTTATTCTGGATGGTAATGTCGATCTTGAAAATAAAACAACCAATTACTTTATGAGCAAAATGGGTTTGAGGATAGCAGAGAATTACAAATTGGGACAAGCAAGTTATGGCAAAATCATATTGCAGTCTAAAGAACAAAGAAGAAGGGCTTGCTTTTATTAGGTTTTAGGAGGAAATTGGGAAGATTTGGTTTGAACAAAAGTTCACTGGAAAGAGCAAGAGTTTGAAGTTTTGGTGGTTTCTCATTGGCTGAAAGCAGTAGTTAATGTGTTTGTTCCTGGGGAAGGAAAGGATATTCCTCCTTTGTGTTAAAAGTAGGGATGACATTCCACGTGATTAATATTCTCCCTTGTCAAAGTAAGTTTTCCTTTTTCCTGTTGATTATTCAGACTGTAACAAGTGATAGGTGGGTGAGATGTTCCCCTTTCAGGGCTTTCCAACTCCATTTTTTTATTAATTAATTAATTTATTGGTATGTGCCCCTAGCAGGAACCGAACCTGGGACTCTGGTCTGCAGGCCGACACTCCAACTGCTGAGCCAAACCGGCCAGGGCTCCAACTCCATTTTAAATGAAGTTTCATTTATTTAGTTTCACAAGGAAAAAACACAACTTTAGTTTATTTGAGGGTTAATTGGTTTTTAAAAGACAAATGACTTGTCTGCATGTAGATATCATCTGAGTTTTCTGAAATAATGGGCCCATAATTTTCCTGAGCTGCTTCCCCACCAATCATATAAATGGGAATGAACAGAATGGCATACTGAAGAGAGGCAGGGACTCAGAGGCTGAACTTAAGGATTCAAGACAGCTCCCCCATTCATTGGTGTCTGGTGGGACATGTGGCTCTGACCAAGCTTCCTTGGAACATGGCTGGGGGTTGGACTCTAATTTTTTTCTAACCTGAACTATAATATTCTTTCATAAGCATTATGACCTCATGGGCAGAAACTTTATTTTCTGTGTTTTCTGGCACACACTTATCTCAATGAATGATTTCTGAATAAGCATGGTCAAAAAGAGGAGGGAGCTCAGAAATTGGAGGGAAGGGGGAAGGTCTCCTGGGGCTGCTTGGTGGTGGGGCTGGTGCTTGTTGTCCTTATGCAGGCTGGTCCCTGTTTCTTCATGGTGGTAAAAGTGTTTTCTTTTTCAAGATCAAGATACCATACTGCCAAAAAATAGTTTGACTCAATTTAGCTTTCTTAATGTCAATTTAGTGCCATGTACATACATTATATCACTTTATTATGTAGATTCCCTCACAGAAACTTGTTTCTGTTTTCTAAACTCTTCTACCTCTTATGTGGTCTCTGGATACCAATCAGTTGAATTATTTAATTGTGAACTCTGAATATTTGTCCTTAAAATGTGTAAAAATGAACTTTCTTATATGTAAACAAGTAGGCATTTGGAATAATTTCAAAAGCCCTTTTTTCCATTAAGTTTTAAACTTCTTTCTATGACAAATTACTTTTTCTAGTACTTTTAAAATAAAAATACATCTGTTTTAAGAGAGGTGAGGATCTTGAGTTTAGCAGGGTTCACTTAATATTTTTATAATGATCACTAAACTTGAAATCAGGTGTCAGTTTTACCACTGACATTGCCTGAATGACCTTGGGTCAGCCATTCACCTCTAGATATAGTTTTTTCTTCCATAAAATATATATAGCATCTTTCATAGTTGTTGTAATAGTGAAAGACATATTGTGGAAATATCCAGCATCAAACCTGGCATAATGTAGGCATTGTAGCTCTGAAAAAATAAGACACAAGAAAATGGCCTTTGTTAGCTCCAAGGAGCTATGGCTAAGATTGAAAACTTTCTCACATTAGGAATTTTTCATTGGTATACACCAATTAGCTAATTTCCACAATGAAAAATTACTAACATGAAAAAGTTGTATGTATATGTAATTTGAAGTAGAGGAAAAGGAGCATGAGGTGTGAGTGAGAGAAGGCTTTGCTTATTTGAAGATTAAAGACATGTATGGTTATTATATTGAAACTTAATCACATTTTAAAATTTTTCTCAGAGGAAACACAAGAATAGAAGAGGCTTGTGAAATGTATACCAGAGCTGCAAATATGTTCAAGATGGCTAAAAATTGGAATGGTATGTATACAGTTTTTGTTTATTTGCTTTTCGGGCAGATAACTTTACAATTATTTTGAAGGAGGAGATGACTACTCCCCTTAGAAAATAAGACTATTGTCCCCAAGTCACGTGTCAGTGCTGAATAAGTGGTGTGGCCATGAACTGGGATTAAAGGACCTTGATTTAGTGAATGAAGTTGAAATCCTAACATAAAATTTAAACATAAGAACTGGGTCTGTTTTAGTGTCTATAAACCACTTCATACAGTAAGAGTAATTTTTTTTTCTTTCTTTTTTTTTTTTAACTTTTGAGATGGAGGAAGGGAGAGAGAGAAACACTGATGTGAGAGAAATACATCCATAGGTTGCTTCCTGAATGTGTTACGACTAGAAATCAAACCATAATTTTTGCTTCTAACTAATGTGCTCAAGTAAATCTATTGCCATAAAGATGGATAGTTATAGTAACACTCAACAAAAAGCAAGTAGAATAAATTTCTACTACGTAAACATTAATAGAGAACTTCTATTTCTTACTCTGAGAACAGTTCTGTGATCATTGATTGTGGTTCCATTGGGAAATGTGACAGTGGGAGTGTTATTTATATAACCCTCAACAGACTTATTGTAATTTTTTTAAAGTAATGCTTTCTACCCAGTGAAATTACACATAACAGAATCAACAGAATTATTATTTTCATTGGTTTGAGAGGGGATGTTTCTTTCTAACACCGATTTGAGAAACTAAGTTATCCTTACCTTGGAAAATGGTAAGGTATTTCTGGACTGAAATGGAGGTGGGCTTCAACCAGAACAGGGACATGGTCTCGGGCCTTGGCTTGTACCTGCTACATGACCTACAATGAGGTCCTGGTCCTCTATAGGTTCATTTTCCCATTTGCTATCTCCAACCCAGCTTTATTGAGATATGATTGACACAAAACCTTGCATAAGTTTAAGAGGTATAACATGCTGATTTGCCCATTTGCTTTCAAGGCCAGCTTTAAAAAAATTTTCAATGAAAAAAAAAAAAATCAGTGAAGAAAATGCTATTGAACTAGATGAATCTGAAAGGTCTTTTCTGGCTCTAAATCTTTTTTATAGGTTTAGTTTTAGATAAAAAGATTATGTGATATGTTTTCAAAGCACACTTATGCTGAATTATAATGTATTACAAAAAATTAAAGTGGAGGAGAAAAGAGTCTTATTTCAGCATTCACATCTTTTATTTAGTTCAAGTCTTGTAATCATAGGTAAAAAGTGATCTTATCGAGAAAGATCACTTAATTATTTTAACTGATGATCAGATGGTCTAACCCTCAGGAAATTCTATTTCAGAGAGGCTATTAACATTAATATATCTAAAGTGGCTTTGTATTTATCCTCCCCCATCATCTCTTGCTTACTCTGACATCTCAGCTTCTGCATTTTTTTCTAGTCTGTTTTAATGAACCACCAGAGTAATTCTGTTCAAATATAAGTCAGCTTGTGTCATTTCAAATAAGAGCTAAAGTCCTTAACTGTGGCCTTCCAGGACCTACTGATCCTTGTCTCTTTCTGTCTTTGACCTCATTTCTTACCCACTCCCCTCATTCACCTGACTTCCTCCTTAGAGCCTTTCTGGCACTCTCTTTCCCAAAATAGAGTCTGACTGATTCTCTGTTTCCTTTATCTCCTTCAATTGTTTTCTCAGTGAGGGCTTTTCTAGCCACCCCTTTTAAAGATAGCAATCCACCATCTAGCAAAATAAAGTGAAAAATGTTTACTAATTTATGTCCTGGCCAGATTAGCTCAGTGATTAGAGCATCTGCCTGTGGGCTAAGGGGTTGCAAGTTTGATTCCCTGTCAAGGGCATGTACCTGGGTTGCAGGTTTGATCCCTGGCCCTGTCATGGTTGTGCAGGAGGCAACCAGTCATTGTGTCTCTCTCACATTGATGTTTCTCCCTCTCTCTCCCTCCCTCCTTTCCACTCTATCTAAAAATCAATGGAAAAATATCCTCAGGTGAGGATTAACAAAAAAAAAAAAATGTTTATTAATTTATATTGTGTATGTGTTTTTATTATGTGCTGCCCCCTCACTAAAATATAAACCATAGAAGGCCTGGATGTTTCTGTGTTCTGTCTCTGCTATCCCTGCAGGACTTGGACTGGGGCCTGGAACACGGGAGATGCTCAGAATATTTATATAGTAAATGATTAAATAAATATTAGATTCTGTAAAATTATTTTTGTGTTTCAATGGTGGTTATCATAGCACCATTGCATCTCTAGTTTTTAAAGTCTTTTATAAAGATTAAGTTAATTTGTTTGATACTGAGCTTTTGAGAGATTATCCTGGCAGGTATTAGACTAATTTTACAGGTGAGGAAATTTAGCTTGAGAAGTTATATGACTTTAGTTTAATATATGCTCCTTTAAAGATACTTTTAAGTTTAGGGAAATCGACCTGGCATTTGTAAGCAGTGATTGAAATGAGTGCTCAGTGAAAAAGTAAGCAAGCAAATAGTGTTGAAAGGTGAGAGCATGAAATGATAAAATTAAAGCATTTACTGTTGTCTGGAGAAATGAAGTTAGCCTCGAGAACCTGGATGTTGTGATATTATATTTAGTGAGGAAAGGATGGACCATGATTGGTTCTGGGACAGTCAACATAGATAAACTACAAAAAATGAAATTAATGATAGAAAAGGAAAGATGTAGGTTATAAAGGACATCTAATCATGCCAAACCACTGGTATTGGTTGTAAGACAGACTTATAGATAATAATGATAATGACTGGTACATGTAATTGGAGCCAGTCTATTCTAAACACTTTACTGGGAGATCCAAGTTATTATGACACTCTTCTGGGCAGAGCCTATCAAAGCTTCCATTTAGCTGATACATTCCGGAACTGCCACTTAGAAGTTAGCTGCTGCCCCAAATACTTCAGGGGGCCTGTCCACTACCCTTGCAGTGGCATTGGCCCCTCCTCTGGGAAACCCTCACGATTCACCAAAGAAAGGGTTAAAGTCTAGTGGGGAGAGGTTCTCTGTTCAATGCTGGTGGTTAAATATTTTCAAAACTTCCTGGGCACTCTTTCTAGCTTGCACAGAGCAAGAATTAAACCTGGGAAGGCTGGCTGGGGAGTTTGTACTGTGTCTTTTACCCCAAGTGAAAGTCCAAAAACTTAAGTGGCAATTATGTGGGGACCTCTGGAAGAGATGGGGACAAAGGATAGCAGATAAAGTTTTAATGGAAATGAATGTTTTATTTCTTAAAAAGAAATTTAAAGTAAATATTTAACACCAGCAGTGGGTGCTTAGGCATCTGTTTCTATTTTCTGTATGTTTTTGAATTGTGTTTTATAATACCAAAAGATTTTGTGATATTCTTAATTGTGCTTTTCCTAGTAAAACAAATGTTTTCCTCTCCATTCCTGTTAGTACTGACTTCTCTATTCCAGACCTTACTGAGCTATGTCTCCATAGGCCTTTGTGCTCCTCAGTCTATGGTGCTCATTTTTATGAGGCACTGCCATGGTATTCTTTCTGAATTGAGAACCTCATGATGAATCCTTGTCTAGGTTCCTTATGTTAACATTTAAATTTTTTTTTTTTAATCCTCATCCGAGGACATTTTTCCATTTTGTGTTCAGACAGAGCCGGAGGGAGAGAGAGAGAGAAACATCAATGTGAAAGGGACACATTGAGTGGCTGCCACCTGCACAACCCAACCAGGGCCGGGGACAAACTGCAACCAAGGTACATGCCCTCAGCGGGAACCGAACCCGGGTCTCTCTCGACCAGAGGCCAGTGCTCCAACCGCTGATCCAAACTGGCCAGGGCCCTTATGTTGACATAGAAACCTTTCCTGAACTGACCTGTCAGCTGGCATCTTCAGCCTTGATTTCCACTGCCCTTGCATTTTCATTCCTCCTCCTATAAGCAGCATGGGCTTGTCATTGGCCTAGTTCCAGCCCTTTCTTGCCTTCAAGCATTTGTTCCTTGTTCATGTGGCTTCTCTGCCAGGCGTTCCTTCCCTCATTCTGTTTTGCCATTCCAGAATTCATAGTCCCTGATCTAGAACCGTTTCTGAAAAATTTAGTGCACAAATCTTTCACACTGTGCCGTGTCCTGGTGGAAGACCCCATAACCAAAGCTATCTGTGATTCTGCAGGAAACTGTACAGGTTTTCAGACTAAGTGGGATACAGACAGAATAAACCTCTTATACATTTCAGTCAGACTTTGTCATAAACTTAAGTAAAAAACTTTGAATTCCTCAATTGTGGGTCTATTGAGAAACTGTCCATGAAGCCTTCATTAGCAGTTTCTTCAACAAGCACAACTAAGTCCATTGGACCTGTAAGATAGAAAGATGACCAAATAATATCCTTGACTTCAGTGTTTTACCTCTCTTTAAAAATTAGTAGTTTGAATCTGCCAGTCAGTGTTCAATATATGCCTTGCAACAGAATTGAACTGCCTGGTACTAGGCTGTTGCTCTTGGTACTAGGCTGTTGCTACTGAGTGGAAGCTTATTGCCCAGGGCCGTTTGGGAGGTCTTCTGTGGCCAAGAAAAGCTTTCATTACTGCTTGACTTGACTCTGGCTTATATACACATAAGATGTATTTGATCTCATTTTTATCTGCTTCTGAATGAAATGCTGCTTTTAAGTGGAATGGAACTTTCTAGCACTTAGGACATGGGCTGCTCTGTGTGGATACTTGTTCATCTCTGTTTATTGTAGTAATTTATCTTCCTCAGCTGCAGGAAATGCATTTTGTCAGGCAGCCAAGCTCCATATGCAGCTTCAGAGCAAACATGATTCTGCCACCAGCTTTGTGGATGCTGGGAATGCTTACAAAAAGGCAGACCCTCAAGGTAAGGCACACCTCTGTCTAGGACAGCGATTTTCAATCCAGTGTGCCACAAGAATTTTTAAAACATGCAATACCTGACTATTTAGTCAGGGGCACTGACCTCTTTTCTCTTATATTGTAAAATTTTAAAAAATGATGGTAGCCAATGGAACAATAGCCATCCAGTGTGAATAAATCAGAATTATACCTATTTTTTTTTATTGGATCTGCAAAGAATATAATATATTTTGTTGGTGTGCTACAGAATTCTACTAATTAGTTTATGTGTGCCGTGAGATAAAAAAGGTTGAAAATCGCTCGTCTAGGATGATAGAGTCAATATTGGTGACCTTTTTCAGTTTATACTGCTAGATCTTTTGAGCCCTGGTAAAAATAAATATTTGTATTTTGGGATAATAAAGATTTTGGTAACTTTAGGAATTTTTCTTTAATCATTTGAAGCTTTAATTGGGAGAAGATATGTTTAATTTATCCAGGTGGTTTAGTTGCTTAGCACCATTTTCATAAACTTCATTTATGTTGCATTTTGGAGAATTTTTTGGAAATTGGCTTTAATTTTATCTAGGACTCACTATATTCTAATTTTATGAATATGTATATTGCTTATTAAAGGAAACTGCCATGTTCCCTCACTCCTAAATATGTAATGTGTTTTAAGATCCAGTTAATGGGAAATTATAATATCTGATGGTATTTTGTTTGTTTGTTTCTTTGCTTTTAAGAGAGAAACATCGATTTGTTGTTCCAGTTACTTATACATTAATTGTTGTTGTTTTTTTAAATTGATTTTTTTTTTTTTTTTGAGAGAGAGAGGAAGGGAGAGATAGAAACATCAGTGTAAGGGAGAAACATCTATTGGCTGCCTCCTGAACACCCCCTACTGAGGATCAAGCCTGCAACCCAGGCATGTTGTCTTGATTGGGAATCGAACCCTAACTTCTCAGTCTATGGCACGATACTCATTCCACTGAGCCACACCGGCCCGGCAATTGGTTGATTCTTATATGTTCCCTGACTGGGAATTGAACCTATAATATTGACATATTGGGGACAATGCTCAAACCAACTGAACTGCCTGGCCAGTTATTCACACAGTATTCACATGATTTTTAAAAGTGTTTTTCCTGGTATTTGTTTTAAGGAAAGAACGAAGTTGGGTAAAGTGGTAAAATTTTGCAAAAAGTGATTTTTCTTTTAGTTAGAGGAATGCATACTTAGCAATAAAAGCATTAATTTAGTTCCTCCCACATATGCACTGGTAGCTATGAAGTTTCTCTTTTTTCTTTTAGCAGTCCCCTTTAACATAGAAATTTCAAATTTTATTACTATATCATACAGAAATAACATTTTCAAAGGCTTTTGTATAAAGATTGATCACAGTTTATTTTTAAAAGTGAAAAACTGAACACAGCCTAAATGAGCAATAAGATGAGAATGGTAAAGTTATAATACATTAGTATTGTAGAATATGATGTCATTATTACAGTCCCTGATTTCAGAGAACCTTTAGTGACCTGGTAAATGTTTACATGGTAGTTAAAGAACTGAATGAGAATTGAGATCTCAAATTCATAGTAAGGTCCATGCACATAGAAATGCGTCAAAAAAAAAAACAAAACACTGGAAGGCAAAGAATATCAAATACTGAGTTAATTTGAGTGGGATTATATGGGTGCTAAAGTTTCTCTTTGTATTATTCTGTATTTTATTTTATTTTTTATTTTTTAAAATATGTTTTTATTGATTTTTTTTTTTTTTTAGAGAGAGGAAGGGAGAGAGAGGTAGAAAGATCCATGTGAGAGAGGCTGCTTCCTGCACACCGCCTACTGGGGATCGAGCCTACACCTGGGCATGTGCCTTGACCAGAAATTGAACCAGAACCTCTCAGTCTATGGGATGAAGCTCAGTCCACTGAGCCACACCAGCCAGTCTATTTTTCCTGTATTTTTAAAGGAGTGACAGTGAATTCACATTTTCTTATATATTCTAGGAGAATGTTGCTTTTAATGTTTGTTAATCTACTTTCTAATTCTTTAGTTAGGCATTTTTACTCTACTGCCTCTTTTCCAGAAGCAATAAACGTGGAGCTGTCAAACATGTGCCAGAATTATAAACACCACTATTTTATGACAGTGTGCTGGCTCTGAACACAGCCTAACTTTTGGAAAATTAATATACTTTAAAGATGGCGGCGGGCAGGACCAGAGGGAGGGTGAGTGAGTGAGTGTATGAGAGAGTGTGAGTGGACACAAAGGTGGACGACCAAACCCGAACAGTGTAGAGACCTGGAGCAGAAGTTTCCTGTGCTGTGGACAGGAGTAGCCGGCTACCGCGGTAAGCAGCCCTTCAGGGCGCTTCTCCCTGCGCCTCAGAGAGGTCCCATCATTGTGGAAGATCCTAGGTCTTCCCTGGGAGGATACAGTGGGAGCGGCTAGGGCCCAGCATCCTGAGCCCACCAGCGTACCTGGCACCAGTGTACACTCTGTGTCAACACAAACCAGTGCCCAGTATTGGAGCTCCCAAGGTGCCGGTCATGGAAGTTGCAGACAGCCCGGAGCCCAGCACCATCCCCCACAGTAGCAGCCCAATTAGAGTTGAGATATAACCCCAGCAACAGAGGCTGGGGAGCAGACATCCATCCCCAGGCAACAGAAGCACAGACCAGCAGCTGAGACCCATCCCCAAAAACTACAACAAAAGCTGAGCAGGAGTTGAGCCCCACGGGACAGCAGCACTCCCCATTTACCAGCTCCGGGACCTGTGGCTCCACAGAGGCCTGTGCAGTCCAGTAGCTCACAAGAGCAGTGGGAAGCCAGAGCCCTAGAGAGACTGATGCTATCCAGCTTCCCGCCCTCTGGACCTGCAGGGTGCAGGGGCACCAGAGAGGCTTGTGTTACCCAGCAGTCCATAACATAGGCATAGAGGCCTATCCCTAAAGGAACTGTACAACCCAGTTACCCTCGGGACCTGCAGGGTTCTGGGGCACCAGAAAGGCCTGTATGAACCCGCTGCTCACAAGATAGGCATAGAGGATGTGAAAAATGAAGGCGGAGTGAATAGAAGCTCCCCAGATGATCTTCCAGGACCAAACCGGAATTACAACTAAAATAAAGAAAAATCATCACAAAAAAAGCAACAGAAAAGCAGCAGGACAGGACCATATAACCAGGGACACTGGTAGGATCTGCAGAGGTGCAGAGGGTGGCGGGCTGGGAGCCTACGGACAGCAGCAGTCTTAGCTCTGAGCAGTGCCCTTGGGCAATAAACACCAAGCCTGCTCCACAGTGCAGAGAGCCAGAACTGAGCACTAAAATAGCCACAGCCACTCACCTGGGGGCTACAGCAGAGAGAGGACAGACTGGGCTGGAACTTAGTGGGGAAAACTGGGATTTGGAGGGCACTAAGAGTTTTTGCTGAGTTTTGGCCACAAAGAACAGTGGCCAGTGTGCTCCTTTCCCAAGCTGTGGGGAAAAGCAGCACCCCCCCCTCCCCGGGGGATTCAGCCTTTCCTGGGTGAGGCAAAGAAATGCAAATTGAGGCTCATTAATAACCAGCATCTGTCACACCCTCTGCAAATCCTCTTATGCAGAATACCAGGGCTAAATTCCAAGGCACTGAGTAACTGAGACTACTAGCCACCATGAAAAAGCTAGAGGATAACTGAACCTTCCCAGGACTTGCAAATCTACCCTGGAAAGTAAGACTTGACAGTGGTGTTTAACGTGAGCCCACCCAGGCTCATCCAAACCCAGCAGATGGTGCCACAAACAGCAGAACACCAACAACCATAGGGAATATTTGGCAGACTCCAAAACCCATTGAGATAGCCAAAATGGTGAAACAAAGAAACTAATCCAAAAATTAAAGAAGAAGAGAACTCTATCGAAGATGAGATCAATGATATGCAGCTAAGCAAATTATCAGAGGTAGAGTTCAGAGCCATGATCTTGAGGAAGCTCAACAGCATGAGTAAGGACATGAACACCATAAGTGAAGATATAGAAACACTGAAAATCAACCAAGTGGAAATGAAGAACGACATAGCAGAAATTAAGAACACATTTGAAGGACTAAACAGCAGAGTAGAGGAAGTGGAGGACCGGAGCAGTGAATTAGAAGACAGGGTAGAAAAAAATCAACCAATCAGAAAACCAAAAGGAAAAAAAAAAAAACAATTAAAAAACAGGAGGACAGCTTAAGAGAACTGTGGGAAAACTGGAAAAGAAATAACATCTGCATCATAGGAATCCCTGAAGAGGAAGAAAATGGGCAAGAATTAGAGAATATGTTTGAAGAAATAATGATGGAAAACTTTCCTAACTTGGTGAAGGAAGAAGGCATTCAAGTTCAAGAAGCACAGAGAGCCCCCAGTAAGAAGAACCCAAACAGGCCCACACCAAGACATATAGGAATTAAAATGCCAAGAATTGAAGACAAAGAGAAAATTCTAAAGGCAGCAAGAGATAAACAACAGGTTACCTACAAAGGAAGCCCCATAAGGCTCTCAGCTGACTTCTCAATAGAAAAACTGCAAGCCAGAAGGAATTGGCATGAAGTAATCAACGTCATCCAATTTAGGAGCACCGACATATATTATAAATCTTTTGGAGGTCTTCAAAGGAGAAATCAACAGTAATACAATCAAAGCAGGGGACTTTGATAACCTGCTGACATAAATGGATAGATCTTCTAGACAAAAAATTAAGAAGGAAACACAGATTCTGAATGAAGCACTAGATCGAATAGATTTAATAGATATCTACAGAGAATTACACCCAAAACCTCAGAATTCACATTCTTCTTAAGTGCACATGGGACATTCTCAAGGATAGACCACATGTTAGGGCACAAACTAAGTGTCTACAAGTTCAAGAAGACTGAAATTATATTAAGCATCTTCTCAGATCACAATGGCATGCAATTAGAAATCAATTGCAACAAGAACATGCAAAGACCTTTGAAAACATGGAGGCTAAATAGCATGTTATTGAACAATGAATG